CTGGGGCTCTAAGTCTGGAGACTCTCTGATTCATTTTCTCAAGAGATTAAACCTGTCGGGGTAGGGTCTAGGGCGATCCTGGGGTAAAGGAGGGAGGCTTATATTGCCCTCAGCCATTCTCCAGGGTATCATGTTAGAGTCCCACCCCCACCCCTCCTCTCCATGGTATATCTTGCCCCTGAGTCCTGAGGTTTCCCTGAGGCTTGTTATTGTTACTCTTCATGCAAGCATGTATACGTATGTTAATTACCATGTCTCCATTTACTTCCCTTCTTCTAATGCACTGACCCTTCCAAATGCATTGACCCCTCTCATCTACTAGTTGGTTCTTTTCCCATTTTCTTTGTCATTGTGAGTTTATAGCTTAAAATAATAAAAAAAAATTCTTTACTGTCATGTTAGTAGAGTTTAGAGCAGAGGTCAATGCACATACTCAGCCCGTACATTCAGCAGGAAGTCCTAGCTCATATTTTTTATTGAATTAAATTTCACAAAAGTCAAATTTCTGTAGTTGACCACTAGCAATCAGATTTTTTTTTTTTTTAGTAACAAGTTTGAGTGTTTAAAATGAAAGTTTAAGGATGCTCATTTTATTTCCCAGTTTAGAAAAATATATTAGCCCGATTTAGTGAATTTAGACTCTCTGGATTTATTTCCTTGGATTTACTTATAACAATATGTTTGAAATGTGTGAAGTAGAAAAATTGGCAGGATCAAAGAGTATGTGTGTGTTTGCAAGTGTGGCAGCAACAGAAACCAGTAGAAGGAAAGAACTAAGAGAAAGCAGTGTCAGATTTGGGGTGGGACGGAGGGTAGTATTTCAGATTATCACCATATAAACATTTTAAATTCCATCTATACTTTTTAAATGGGCATCTAAAATCGGCTTTTTCTTAATAGGAGCAGAGGCATGGATACATGGAGCAGACTGACAGCTGTCCAAGGTGAGGGGGGCGGGGCGACCAGATGAAAGAAGGTGAGGGGATTAGCCAAAGAACATACATATTCACACAGACACACAGACAACAGTGGGATGCTAGCCAGAGGGCAGGGGGAGGGTAGGAGCTGGGTGGGGGTGGCAAGGCAGTGGGGCGGGGATGGGAGGAAATTTCGCTTGGGGTGATGGGTATATGATGCAGTATGCGGGGGATTATTTTATTTGTAGTACATGGGAAACCTGTGTGGTTTTGCGAACCAATGTCACCCCAATGAATTCAACCGGGAAAAAAAATAACATTGAATTTTTTTTCCTTTACTGTGTAATCTCACAGACTATTCATACTTTATCAGTGTCACAAAAATACTGCCTTAATTCTAAGCTCTCACTATCTTGGCTGCTTCCAGGAGCCTCGTAGAAGTCAAATGCGAATAAATAACCACAATAGAGATCATTTTTCAGTAAAGCAACTGAGAAGGGGATGTTTTGGTTTATTGATCCCAACAGTATCTTTTACTTTTTTGAGTAGCAATCAAGAGATCAGTGGACCTATCATTTCTGTTCTTTTAAAAAAATCATTTGAATTTCCTTCAAACAATTTGGCAATACAAAGTTTTAGATTTGCCCATCATATTATAGTACCATCGTTAAATGGCATGAATGGAAATGAAACACACACCCCAAAATAGCTAAAGGTCCTGATAATAAGGCTAATTGTGCAGAAAACAAATATATTTTTCTTATCTTTCCCCTTGGAGAAATTTTAATAGATAGTTCAATCTTAATAGTTTCATCCTACTTTAGTAGAACTGGCTTTCCCCTCGCTGTGTCTTTGGAGTAAAATTTCACATTGCCGCTGGATTTATGACTGCTGTTGCCAATACTATGAATTACTGTAGTGTCGTATAGCATTGCTAGGATGCTGACTCTCCTTCTTTGGAGGAAAGAGATAACATGTTGGAGTTTTTAAATTTCTTGATCATAGAAGATACTGAGTCAAGATTCTAGGTGAGCTTCCTTGCTGAGTTTTTGGGCAACTGCTCTAAATCATTTAAGGTTTCTGTGCCTACATCTCTTCAATATGAGACACTCAACTGTGTAAGGCACAATCTAGTAAGCCCAATAGAAAATAAACTTATCCAGGGGTAGAACTCAAGTTTTATTCATCTTTGTTTTCTCTTGCTTAAATTCATAATAGTTACTCACTACATCTTGACCAAAAGAATTTCAAAGACAAGTAGGATATAGGGCAAGTGGAAGTCCTGAGATCCTAATGAGAATAATTTCATGCACATTTAATATAGTCAGCTTAATTCTAAAGGCCATGTTGATAGGAGGCCCGTGGGGCTGCATGTTCTTCGGTGTAACATGAAGTACAGAGCTGATTATAGTGTTAACAAGATTAAAAGAGAGATATTTTAACTGGCAAATCCTTAGCTGGAATATAGACTACAGCCGGTGTTATGGCGGAGCAGTGGTCTCTCTTGTTAAAGGGGCTGCAAGGTCCTGTTTGAATTGCCTTCACATGCAGTGATGGTTGTAAGGGCTTGGCTACTTTCCACAAGAGTGAAAGCAACTCTCCATTAGATGGGAGAAAATGTGGCCGGCTTGAAACTTTGGCTGGCAGAGGAGAAGGGTGGAGAAGGTGGCAGAGATTGTTCATGTATGGCTAATACTCGGAAGAGTTCTAGATTTTACTGTCTCGCAAACTAAAAGGTGTGCTCCAGAACCACACCCTCCTTTCAATGTAGACAGAATGTTCCCTTCTTTGCCTGTCTCCAGTGGTCTCTGGGGAGCATCCTGATATAGAAAATATGCGAAAGGAAGAAGGGGCTGTCCTACTTTTTAAGGTTTGAGGATGACATTTCTCATATTGGTATTATGGGAAACGTGATTTTCTTTTTTGGTTTTATAAATAGAAATCATTGTTTTCCTTTTTCTTTTTACTTCCCAAGGAGCCACCTCTTACTGAACCTTTGTTCCCTCAAGTCACTGCTGAGGTGTTTTCAAACAAAGCCAACACTTGAATTTTATTCTCCAAAGTACAACAAATTATCTGCTAATAGAAGCAGCCTGGTCAACGGTGGGAGAAGGCACGGAAGCCAGAGGACTGGTGTTTAAAGCTCGGTTCACTGCTTCCTCCAGATTTGCCATCAACAAACCTTTCAACCTTGCAGCGTCTCTATCCTCATCTGTAAAATGGGGTTAATGGGGGATTTCATCGGCAAAGTGGGGATAATAGAGATTAGAGAGTAGAAGAGATGACGTGGGTGCATGACGCCCCAGCTAAACAGGAGGTGAATCTTAACAATAATATTAGGACTGTGTGGTTACAACGGAAACTTTCCTTCATTTGCTGTCAGAAATGCCTTCGGGAGATTTCAATTCCTTTTCACGCTGTCTGTCCGTCTGTGGTGGGGGTCCGGCCACCTCGCGGCGACGCGAGGACACAGGGCTGCAATTTGTAGACCGGCTTCCTTCCCGCAGGGTTCAAACGGCCTGTTTAGAGAAGGCACGAGAAAGTACAAAGCAAAAATTTCAGCCGATGCCAATAAATCTTGGAAAGTCATCTAAAGGAGGAGAAATTGCCGCTTGGGAAGGAAAACGGCTCATTTTGGGCATCCTTTCTGCTCTTCTTAACAACAACAACAACAACAACAACAACAACAACAAAAGCCCCGATGTTGCAATATTTTTCAAGGCAGAATACTGTCCCAGATGGAGGAAGAAACACTGACACAGAGAAAAAGAGATACCTGGGGCTCCGAGGCAGCGTTGGCGAGGGGTGGCGCGCCGGGAGCTCCCAACCACGCAGATCTAGTTGGGGGAGGGGGGGCACTATTTCGGTGGAATAAATTGCTCCCCCTTTGGAGACTCCCTCAGCAGAGACAGTGCCGGATCCTAGTAGCCCCCCACGCCCCCCACCCTTCCAGCTCTTGCAGACCCCACAACGTGCTCTGACTGCGGTGCCTTTAAGACTTTAGCCTGCTGCACATGCTCAGCTCTACGCGTGTTGTTGGAGTTTTTCTCTTTTAAGAAAAAAAAAAAGAAGAAGAAGAAAAGGAGAACAAGAAGAAGAAGAAGAAGAAGAAGAAGAAACACGCCGGAGGATGGGGCGGAGGAAGGGGAAGCGCCTGGAAAAAAAGCACTGCACTTTTGCAGCTGTAGACGGCGGACGCGAAGGGCTTCTCTTTTGCTGAAGCTGCGAAGCCGGTCCCAAGCTGATCCTTCGTTTGTGGGGCTCAGCAGGCGCGGGTGCGAGGGGGGCCCCGGCGCGCGGCGGGCAAGGGCACCGCGGGCACGCGAACCACACCTGGGGGGCCAGTCACCCCTCGGCTCCTGGGCCGGGAGGATGGGCGCGCGCGGGGGAGTCCCGGGTCCCCGTTAAGGCGGGGCGAGACCACGCGCTGGGCCTGTGGGGGGAGCGTGGGCAGGCGAGAGGCGGGGAGGCAGTCCCACGCCCCGCGAGCTCCAGCCGCATCCCCGGTGGCTGGCTAGCGGCACGGGAGAGACGAGGGCTGCTGGGGGGCGGCCGGCCGCGGGCCTCGCGCAGCGAGGCTGATCCCCGTTTCCCAAGTCCTCCCTCCCACATTGGGCGCGCCCACCTCGGGGCTCCAGCTGGTCCCCGCCCTCCCCGGCGCGCGGGGCTGCGAGCCGAGGCAGTTGGCGCGAGCCGCGGTCGAGGCGGGGCCGCGCGCGGGGTCCCCTCCCCCTCCAGCAGGTCCCCTCCCGCAGGTCCCCTCCGGAGCGCCCCGCGCAGCCGGTGCTGCCCGCTCCCCGCCTCCGGCTCGGCCCGGGGCGCCGCGGCGGTGGGCTCGGCCCGCTGAGGACAAGGTCAGGAGACGAAGAGGCGATGCCCGAGTACGACTGGAGGGAGCCGAGCGGAGGCGACAGCGGTCGGGATCTGTCCCTCCCGACCGGCGAGCGGGACTGGGGCAGGCGGTGGTGAAGAGCAGCAGAAGCGGCGGCGGGGGCACAGTTTTTTTCCGGCCGGATCCCCCCTCTGGAGCATCCCTGTCCGTGCCTGCGAGCGCAGCCCCGCCGGGCAGGGGCGCGGGGGAAGATGGAGCCGGGGGCCCCGGCCCGCACTGGTCCCCCGCAGCCGGCCGCCCCGGGGCTCTGGAGGGCTCGGCCGGCGGGCGGCGGGGGCGCCTCCTCCTGGCTGCTGGACGGAAACAACTGGCTGCTGTGCTATGGCTTCCTCTACCTGGCGCTCTACGCGCAGGTGTCCCAGTCCAAGCCGTGCGAGAGGACTGGCTCCTGCTTCTCCGGCCGCTGTGTCAACTCCACCTGCGTCTGCGACCCGGGCTGGGTGGGGGACCAGTGCCAGCACTGCCAGGGCAGGTTCAAGTAAGTGCCTCGCCAGATCCCGAACCTCAGCCCTGCCCCGCACCCGTCGCGGCCTCCCCGGTTCCCCGCGGCCTCGGGTCCCTGGGCCGGGAGCGCACGCGCTCCCCACTGCAACCCCCGGGCCACGGGGACCTCCGGCCCCGCCAGGAGCAGTGACCGCTTTGGACGCTAAGCCTTTCCCGATGGTCCAGATGTCCTTCTCGACTTCTGGTCCCCTGCTCATCAACATTTCCACATTCAGTTACGGTGCCCAACACCATTTTGTTAGGACGCTATTTTTAATCAAAAATTATGCAAGTAATTCATGTAGTACTAGGACATGGTGAAACATTCGAGCAATTCAGAAGTGCAAAGGTTAAAAGTTATGGTCTCCCAATACCAGCCCCCCTCCCCCCGCCCATCCTATTTCTCTCTCTACAGGTAACCACTGCTAACAGTTTATTTAATAATAATGGTGATCATAAATAAAATTTAACATGGGCTTACTGTGTGCCAAACACTGTTCGAAGCGCCTAGCGTGGATTATCTCATTTGTGCCTCACAACTCTGTGAGGTACTAGACATATTATAGTGGTTTTACAGACAGAAATCAAGGCAATGAGTTTAAGTAATTTGCCCAGGATTACACAGCAGAAGGGCAGGCTCGTGATTCCACATCAGCCAGCTGAACTCTAGCATGTTTGCTTTTAGCCGATATGCTATATTGGATTCGTGAGGACAGTCATGAATCGAGAAATAGGAGAGTGACTTTGGGGAAGGAAATACACGGACTTTTTAACGTGGGGGAGATAATGGAGTTTCCTAACTGGTTATTTCACTGTCAGCTGTTGTGTTAGAGCATCACTTCGGTTTCTCTGAAGCTCAAGGCCCTAACGACTTTGCTTTACAGCAGTGAAGATACCGTCTCCCTATTGGATGATGTTTATTGCATTCCTGCCCGAAATGAAAAGAAAAGGGTGGATGCGGGGGAGCTGAAAATACGATAGTTGAGGACGTTAAGGTAGCTATCTGACAGCTTGCACTTAAGGCATTAAGTCTGTCAACTTCTCAGCTTTCTAGATACTTCGCAGGAAGTTTTCTGGCTGGCTGGTGGCTCTGAAATTACATTATGTAGATTGCTAACATTTATTGTCCGGACGATAGCAAAATCTAAGTGAAATGCCTCTTGGCTGCTAAGACAAAGGTAGGGATATGGTTCACCTTATTAATGTATTGTAGAAAAGTTTCCTGGGAGATCTAAACACAGTATTTGTGTTTATTTACTTACTTATTTATTTATTTATTGCACTGTTGCTGATAAAGAACAATGCCCTGAAAACTCATTGTAAAAATGTACTTTAAAAAAATGACACTTTTTAACTTTAAGTAGATCCTACTATTTCAATTAATTTACAGAAGGTTTTGGGAAAGTGCAAGCTCAAAATAAAATTTTATGGAATTCATTTGTAGCAATAGGTTGAAATGTTTCCTAGCTTCACACTTCCACAAATTAGTATAACACTATATATTTCTTGATATTTTTTAAAATTTGGGAGAGATGCTAATTAAAATTTAAAAAAGGGTTTCAAGATTGCATATTGTATTGTGCTTGTTAGCCTTTTTAAAAGTTGATTTTAGAGAGAGAGGTAATCATTTTTTTTGTTCCACTTATTTATACATTCAATTGTTGGTTTTTGTATGTGCCGTTAGCAGGAATGGAACCAGCAACTGTGGCGTATCAGGATGATGCTCTCTATCAGCAGAGGTATCTGCCTAGGGCAGTATGCCTTTTATTTATTTATTTATTTTACTTAAGTGTCCTTAAACTTTTGCTATGAGTATAGCTGTCAGACTCTCAGCAGGCAAGATTTTGAACCTATAAACTGGGAGCCAACAATGAAAAAAGCCATATCCATTTTTTAAATATCTTTTTGTGCATAAGTAGGAAGATTGCCTGATTCCTATGTAATTTAGGGATACTGGCCTTTGCATGGGTGGATTTGCTCCATCTGTTTGAGGACAAAATCGCTACTGCTCTGGGAAGCTCCTGTCTACATTATATGGTAGTGGACTCAAGAATCAGCTGGATCAGGAGCTTGTAGCCCCATGAGCAGATGTTTGTCCCACTTAGTAAGAAAGATTACAGATCAAGTTAAAACTAGCTTCAATAGCAGAGAAAGGGTGTTCATAAGCACAATACATTAATGAGGAAAAGAGGAATAGCTTTTTAAATATAGATATAGTTAAATAGCAATAAACCCTGAACTAATCATTGAATGTTCTTCATGTCCTTGGAAGCTGTAATTTCCTATGATTCATTGTACCCTGTGGATAAGTAGAATACATTTCATATGTCTGTAGAATACAGGCTATTAATTAGAGTTAAAAAAAACTGGTACAACTCTGTGTTTTGTTATGTGTGCTCTTAGGGGTAAATAAAATGTGATATTTAATGTTAAAGAGAAGAATCAATTTAGAAGAAAAGAATTCTCCCTGGTACACGCTAAGCTAAGAAAGATTTATTCGAGGATGGTGGCTTGAAGTAATAACACAGTGGGAAAGACTTTAACTGGAAATTCTCACTTCATTAATTATCTTGAAAATCTTTTACAAAACTGGAGGATAGCAAACTAACAAACAGACATCAAAAATGATCAATCTTGGTAAGCAGGTGTCAAAATTAATTGGCTGGTTCCATGGTAACTTAGCTTTTTTCTCCTACTATGGGGATTTCACTAGGGGTAAGAGTGTTCTCCAAATGCTTCTTTAGAATGGAAGATTGATGGTGGGGGGAAAAATACAGAAGCAAATGTGATATCAAAAGTGGTACTTCAGTTCTCTTAGCATTGATTCCCGTCTTCTCTGTGTTTCCACTTGAAAAGAGTAAAACACTCAGAATTATAAGCCACTCCTCACATAGGTAAAACAAAATGAACACTCATCTTCAGCTACAGCAACACTGAAAGATTTAGGCCAGAATCAGAGCAGGACTGTGCCAATTGGAAACGCAATAATCAAGGGTATGATACATGCTAATTCAAGTAGCGTTTAGTTGAATAGCTTAGGATAACATTAGGCTACAAAAGATTTTGCTATAAATAGCATTCTCTTTTAGAAGCTGATTGTTTCAAATTTTTTTAGAGTAGTTGAGATTCATATTTACATTTATATTTTGTGTTCACATGTCCATTTTCTTGCCAATGTGATCAGGAAGCTATGACTTCTAGTTTCTGTCAGGTAAACAAAATAACCTAAGTGATGCTCTGAGATTGGAAAATATCTCATATTGTGAATAATTTGCAAACGTAAATTTATTATTAAACATTTATTGAACATTTTCTAAAATCACTTATTAAATCTTATTACATATTCAATATATATAGATTTTTTTTAACCTCATAGGTTAGTCAAATATGGATACTGAATTTCACACATTTATAATGCAAGTGTTTATTTCTAGTGACAGCAAAAGGAAGACATTAGGAATGAGGTTGCTATAAGAAACAAAATTGGGTAGGGTTAAATGTGCAAATGTTTTTCTTAAGTTACTACCACACACACATACACACACACACACACACATTTGGAATCCTTGTTATTAATAGTAGGGAAACTAGCAGTAATTATAAAGTTAAATGGAATGTTCCCTGTCCCCTCATCATCTTTATTTCAAACTAACTTGTAATATGTAATTTATATCTATGCATACTTTTTAATTATTAAAAATCACATAGTAGAAATCTAAAAGCTATTTAAATTGAGTGTTTCTAAGATCCTGAACTGGTAAAGTAAGTTACTGGTAGCATGGTTTTCGAGACCACGTGTCTGCGTGATTTGGCTCCTTCAGCAGACTAGACTCCCTTGTCCTTTCTTCTGCAGTGGTCTTTCAAAGGTCCCTGGAAGTGTCACGTCACATTTGGCCTCAGAGCATTTTCGCATATGCTATGACTTCTCTCTGAGCCCTCTTTTCCTAGGTGGGTAGGGTTTTTTGTTGTTGTTGTTGATTACTAAACATCCTTCAAATCTTAGCTTATACTAAGGAGGCTTTTCGGACTCCTCAAGCTATGTTACCCCTTATTATGTACTCTTGTAGCACATTTTTTTTCTTTTTAGTACGTTCAAAATGAATAATTGCAATTGTAATTTTTCCTTTAAATTATTTTTTTGTCTTTTAAATTATTTTAAGAGCTTTTTGAGGTATAACTGACATGCAGTAAACTGTCTAAAAAGTTTTGATATACCTCTGAAAATGATACCACAATCAAGATTATAAATATATCCATGACACCCCAAACCCTTTCTTTCCTGCTGCTTCTCCCTGTCCCCAGGCAACTACTGAGCTACTTTCTGTCACTATAGGTTTGTTGGCATTTCCTAGAATTTCATAAAACTGGAATCATGCATTATGTATTCCTTTTTGCCTGGCTTTTTTCACACAGCATATTTATTTCAAGATTCATTAATGATGTATCAGAAATGTATTCCTCTTAATTCTTGAGTAGTATTCCAACTTACATATACACCACAGTTAGTTTAAATATCCATCCAGTGATGGATATTTAAGGTTGTTTCCAATATTCATTCGGCCCTTCTGGAAACTGCTCATGGTAGAAGTCTTTGTATGGACATTTCTCTTGGGTAAATACGAGTGGAATGGCTGGATTCTATGCTGGATACATGTTTAACTTTTTAGCAAACTGACAAATTATCTTCAAAGGTAATTGTATCATTTACATTCCCACCAGCAGTGTATGAGTGTTCTAGTTAATTCACATCCTCAGGCACTAGATATGGTAAATCTTTTAAATTTCAATGGTTCTACTAAGAATGCAGTGGTATCTCATTGTGGTTTTAATTTCCATTTCCCTAATGACTAAGGTTGTTGAGCATCTTGTCATGTGCTTACTTGCCATCTATAGATCTTTGGTGAGGTATCTTTTAAAGCTTTTGCACATTTTAAAAATTTCTTCTTACTTTTATGAGTTCTTTACCCATTCTGGATATAGTTTCCTCACCAGACA